GTCCACATCAATGGCTAGAGACATTGTCAGATATGGCCCAGTGGCGCCCTCAATGGCGCTCGTGCATCCAAGCTATTGCCTTCAATGCATAGCTCCTTTTCCAACCCCCCCCCACTTGACAGCCCACTGTACCTATCCCCCCAAAAATATCGGTGAACGAAACTGCGGCAGCTACAACCACTGTACGACGAGTACGCGGTTATTACAGTTGACAATGATTATGATGATTGTACGATATACAATTTATCTCTGGGTTTCAGGTGGGTCTTCTGTAATAAAGCGAATTCTTGCGCAGACGCGGGTATTTATCAAGGTTCCAGTAGAAGGGAAGTGTGATTGCAACTGTGCCAAGGGCCCCAAGGACAGCGAAACCGATCGTGAGCTGTCGAAAAGTCTTCAGTGACCTTATGAGTAGTATGTTACGTTTAGACAAAGCTTGAGTAGACACTATGAACGGATGATACACTCACTCACTAGGGAATCCGGTGAGGTGACTTCATGCCCATGGATTATAAATAAGACTGTGGTTCTAAATCTGTTTCGAATCGTACTGTTTCGACGCGCAATTTCCGCTCCGTAACTAGTACCGATACGAACACGAATCAATCAATAAATCCTTGTCTACCACAGCCACATGACATTGTCAGGTGCAATCCTGCTAGTCTGTTCAACTAATGATGGCCCGGAATACAGGTGAAACAAGAGGGCTTATTTCGTTTAGTTCAGTTAATCCGTTCTGCTATTCCTATGGGCTTATTTAAAGAAACCTCGAACGAAAAACCAGGAGAAAACTTACCTCAATGGAATGTCTTTTCGCACCCGCATGACCATTCGCTTTTCTGGGTCCAGATTCAATTTGAAGCAGAGTGTAATCCAGTGTGAACTTTTCTGATCGAAATCGGGGTGATTTTTGTCCCGACAAGTACTACTGACCGTGGAACACATATGAGATCCACTCGTATTCGAATTTACAATTTTCCCACTTTCTTCACTCCTTACCTGACCAGATATCTGAATGTCACCTTCTTGAGACAAGTAAGGTTTGCAATTCCGTATCCGAGATGTCCCGTGGTCGGATATGTTTTCTCCACCAGAGTGACAGGCATATTTTGGCCAATATCCAAAGCACGGCGGTAGGATTACGTTTCTTGAGTTCCTACTTTCTAATTTGATAGGTGCCTTAAGTTCTCTAAACCATGAGTGACTGAGGGAATGTTCGATTTTGTTCACCGCATCACTGTCCCAATGGTTCCGTTTTTTACGGCGTAGCTTCCTTTCTGGCATTCAGACGAAGCTAACACGAGCAATGTAGGTCAGTTGCACTCATAATTCTGTCCAAGGTCGGCTTCGAATTCACGATCGATATGACAAGCCTTGTGTAGTTTGCGTACATTAAACGGAGGAGCACACAAATTTCATCGTGATTGTCTGCTTCTCCGAGGCGCTTTTTCGCCCACAATCTCTGGTTAAGCGGAAAATTAGTCATCTTAAATGATTTTGCCATATGAAACCTGAGTTATTTTGAACAATGATGCAAGTTACTGTGATGTTAAATCCCTCAGTGTCTCAAATTGTGTTTTCAGTACAGACGACTAAAGTACAACTCCATTGGTCAACCAACTTGCTATTGATGGTAAAAATACCGTTCAGCTGTAACACCCTTCCGCTGCCATGGTTCCATTGGTCAACCAACTTGCTATTGATGGTAAAAATACCGTTCAGCTGTAACACCCTTCCGCTGCCATGCCAAACAAAGGAAGCATGAGGGCTGGAATACTGCCAGTTTGCCCAGTATTCGTGGACGGGATATCAATTTACTGCCTGAAGTGCAGTGACTCATTCGTTAATTTGCCCATGCGGTCGTCTCTCTCAACCGATCACCTCTCTTTTCAATGCTGTTCGTTTGAGAACGCCAACCGTAGTTCTGTGTATCACCGAACAAGTTACGTACTAGCCTGGTTGGTGATAGTTGCGTGTTGGGCTGATGATTCGAGCGCTTCTTGACTGTTGAGCAAGGCTTTGATCACAGGATGACAAAATTTATACTCTCCAACCAGTCACACCACGAAGGAACGCATTAACCGATAAGAATAACACTGGATTACTCGCTGTATACTGTCCAATAGGTGCTGTTCAGTGAACTTGGCACCCTCCCACCAGTTTCTACAGAACAATGAACAATCGTTCATGTGTAACACTCTTACAGTGACTCTATACTTATATTAAAAGCCCTAGAGTGAAAAGAGAAAAAGAGTGGGTGAGGGAGGGGACCTAGAGCTGGCCTATGTCAAGCATCCTAAAGTGCATACACCTCCAACCGCTCAATCAGACAATAGAAATTGACAGCACGAACGCCACTGACATCGATTAGCCGCCATTTCTCGCAGCGTCTCCAGCCAATCTCAAACGGGATTACGGGGACCCATCCTGTAAGGCGGACAACACCAACAATACCCAGACTCTTCCTGATCTCTCACACCTTTCTGCCAAGTCATGTGCTGTCAACCGCGTGGTTCGAGCCATCCTGAAGGAGGTACGGAGAACAACACTCGTCTCGGTAGACGATTTTTCGGCATGCGTAGCACATGACTGAGCCATCGTAGTCGCTGATGCTGGATGTTTTCTCGGATTGAAGTGCCTGCAGCACAACCAAACACCTGTTTTCTAATTACCTCGTCACTAACACGCTGACGCCATCCAAAATCAGCCACGATTCTGAGACATCGGTGGTTGGAAACCTGGAGACGCTTCACATCATTTGTCCGCAGAGGCTATGTCTCGCACCCATGCAACAACACAGCCCTTACTGTAGCCTGGTACACACGACAGGGGTAGTCGAGATACTGGAGTAGGAAGGGAGAGATAGACCTTTTGGTGAGGAAGTTTGTATCTGAACCACAGCGCTCCGAACCCTCAGGTTCGAAAACTTATCATAGGTACCTGTAATAAGTTGTCTTCTTTAAATATCTCTTTTCGACTTTCTTTTAATTCTGCCGCAGATAAACTGTGTCTGTAAATGTAAACCAAGCTGTTATTTTCTGATTTATAGAAAATCGAAACGTGTTTTACAAGCTTACTCTTTGGCTTCAAGAAATTTTACCGAAGACTACGTCAGGCGGCTGGATGAGAGCAACCTAAATCAGTCTTCTGTAATGTTCCAAATCTTTTCTACAGCCGTAGCCTTCTAGAGAACGTGATATTTCTTCTTCGCGTGAAGCTACATTAATTGGAACTTTCTCCGGATAACTCGACGATGATGAAACATTCTTATACCTGCAGAGTCTCGTTCCCGATCAACGCACAGTGGTGTCCTACCATGACTTGTGGTAAGGCCTTGGTTCTCGAAATAGCGAGGTGTTCTTCGGAGGGACAGCCTTCTACGATGCACCAATCGCGGTTGTTGAGGTTCCCGCCGATACGGAACTTCAAGTGACGCGTAGGTTCGACAATACCGAACAGCAAAAGGAAGAATTGGGTTCGAAATTCTACGGTACTATTTACACAAGGGTTAGCAAATGTGTACAACAAACCGCGATCGTCCACGTTCGTAGCGTCAACAAGTTCACAGGTCTGTCACTGACGCGCACAGCGCAGTGTAAACGTCCGCACAGCGGAATGCTGACTCAGTAGTCTGGGTTGTGGCCGTCACCCCGACGACGGTCTCGTGATGCTCATCGGCCGATCGATCACACGGAACTCATGAGGAAACAAGTCATACGAACGCGCATGGGTTAGGTCAGCTGCGCACATTCACACACAGACACACATGCCAACACACAAGTGTCGGACGGGACTGCCTCTGCGGCAAGGTGAGTACAAAGAGCAAAATGAGGGAGGTTAACAGTACATAGGTGGAGTAAACAGATGAATGGTGGAATTAATGAGGTCAAGTTATATTCCACAGCGGTCATCTAAGATTTCTGAAAAGAACGTCGAAATTTAGCCATTTCTGACAGGTCAGTGTGCAAAGCTTGTTGTATTGATATGCAAGAACCAGTTGAGTAGCCTACAAGTCAATGAGACCAACCTTCATCTCGGTTGAACCGCGACCGTTTCATCCAAAACCAGGGCCAAGCTCTCCGTTTTTTTGTCGAATTCCTTTCGAACAGGTACTACCACGGTCTGGCAAGCATGCTCAGATTTCGGTAATTTCTAAGACGTGAAGTTGTCTCCGGCTTGATTTTTCTACTTTGCACCTTGGTGTCATCCATAGTAACGAGTGTCTTGACCAGGATTTCCGTAGTTCGAACCCAACCCCGGCATCTCGGCTGCTCGTGTCTAGGCTTGAGTAGTATCTAGGCCGTGTATCCAACGTTCATATGTACGTACTCTTGGAACAAACCCTGTGGAATAGCGGGAAGACCGTAAGTTCAGGTCTTTCTTGGGATATGACGAATGCGACTATTCATCAAGAATATCGGACTTACCTTTTTTGAATTCACAAATTGTGAGTTAGCAAAAAAGGATATACACACAGAGCCGAACAACACGATCCCTTCATCCCCATCAGTAGTAGTAGTAGTATATCCCCCTTACTCGCTACCCTTCTTCTGACCTTCTATCAGCCTTTATGGAAACTGTATTCTCTACGCAAACATGCACTATGTGCCTTCAAATGAGACCTATGTTGAAGCTACGCCTTAGACTCACGTCAGTTACGTAGATGCTCCACGGGAACACTAAAAACAAAGTGAACGGATCCTTATATGGACTAAACTTAACAGAATATGGGCCTGTACAGTTCTAAGAGGAGGGGGCCGAAAATTCACTTTCACTGCGCGTTTTTCGACTTGGAATTCAGTAACAGAAAAGTCAGCTGATTTATCGTCACATCCTGCCTCACACTGGTGCACCCATCTAGCCAGAAAAGCAGGAGAATCGCGTTCCAGACTCACTGTATCTCTCACCAGTTAGTCATCGTCCCGCGATTGCGAACCCTTGTTAAGACTCGTCATGGTTTACGAACGACTACTCTTCCCGTTGGAATTGCAGTCTAAACTGCAAACGATTGACGAACCTTGTAGCTACGCGGTCACCTACATACTTGACTGTTCATAGATCATAGTCGCTCACTGGAGCACGAGACTTTTTTTCACGCTCGCAAACCACTTCACATTAAAGTGACTCATCGGATCGGACATCGATTGTCGGTACCGTCTAGTGAGCGTAGCAACAACGGATGTGCTGACACACCCACGTACACGCAAACGGACCTACATATAGGGAAACCGAACACAGTCAGCACACACAGACTCGCGCGCGCTCGCGGGGAGCAGGGAGTCAACCGCTCCCCACAAGTCCACGGACAATTATGGAACACGTGTAGCAGTCGCACTGCGGAGAAAAACACGTTCCCGCCGTCCGGACTTTCACCAAGGAACTCACATACGATAAGTTCCCTGTGGACTTGCTCCCATTTCGCATCGTATTTATTTTTATACGTGTTGCAACCCTCCACTGTCAACCATACTAAAAATTTTTATTAGTGCACACACCTTCTGATTTGTATTATAGCCACCATCAGCAGTGCACTAATAACCTCATGAATCGATGAACATGTACTGCATCTGGACATGACATCAACACGAGCTGAATAGCGACTCACGTATGACCTCTTGAGTTACAGACCATCTTAGGGAATTCTAGACCCAGGAAGATGAGTTAAACTACACAACGGTTGTATCCCTCAAAGATACTGAATAGTAGTACCAATCGTAGCAGTCAGCCAGGAGCATTCCTCGTGTGTATTCTACTTTGCTGACAGCAACAGGAAATGACCTTGTCCGATAATCACCATTGGTTGTCCTGCCGTTTTGCTCACATGATGCATGCCGTGTCAACCTTTGGACTTGTTGAAGAGCTTTCAGCAACCTTGTGGGTAGTGTGTTATCTTTGGGTCACTTATGAACTTGCTCATACATGTGGCTCCAGTCCGGGTGAGTGTTAGTTCTTTCTCCCTCCGGTGACTGGTAGGTAGGGGATTTAGCATAACGCATACTGGCATACCGAGAATGAAGCACCGACCATTGCTGGTGATAGGTGTATAGCTATCAAAGACCGAGTGAACTCAGGCGGTAAGCACCAGCATCATCCAAAGACGTTTGTTAGCGGCTGCCAGACAGACCTTGGAAACGGATACATATTGACTAGTTTTGTCCAACGCACACCTGTAGATTGACGCAGATTGTCCACGTCAATGTGGAGACAATGATCAACAAGATTAGCATACTGTTGGAACACAGTTCAGAATCCCATAAACCTGATGACGGTACTGTGTTTTCCTGCGCTAAACAGGTGCGATTGACATCTTGTATCGAATGGTCAGGTTCGATGAACTGTCGATGAAGCAAGGAATGCTTAGGGAACTTAGAAACACTCCCGGGGGGCATATTTAAAGAACGATCCATGGGTTTTCCCTATAAACCAAATGATCTTTCCTTCGCTTCAGAGAGGTTTGGTCAACACTCAGTGAATTTACTGCTGGGCAGCGTTTCGCTTTTGACATAAAAGCTTCGTCAGGTCAAGTGAATAAGTGGGTAAGTAGGTTGATTGGGTTCAAGACAGTTGGGGATCCAAAATGTGGGATTTCTTATGACTAGCCGACTTGATCAGTGCTGGGTGTTCAGTCTGATGTTCCCGGTTGTTGGTTAGGGGGAGGAGTTGTATTCATGTTGAACCTAGATTTTTCATCCTTGCTTTTTCATTCTAGGTCACCTTAGTGGAATATTTCTCTTGGGGTCGTTCACAGATTTCGTTCACCTGTGTTCGTCGGAGGCTGCCGGGGATGCGGGTTGGAGGGTGGTTAATTGGATCTTACTCTAGTTGGATTTTATACTTTTAGACGCAGACCATTCCGTTGATAACTGTACACCGCCTCGTATCATCTCGGTTGATCTAAAACAGCTCTGCACACGCTTGCGAGTTCTGCACCATCTATACTCTATTTACACCGGGATGCTTGACGATTTCCACCGCGTGGGCCATCAGTCGCTATGATGTGAATCTTGAACCCCGTCTCAGGATGTCCGTATTTTCCAGTGCCAAATGCATGCCCTGCCATTGCCGAATCTTTGACTATCGCCTGATATTCATCTACGTTTCTCGTTGGTCTATCGATGGGCCGCTGATGCTCACCGATTCTGGTGTGCAATTCCCTGGCTGTCTGACTATCAGGAAGGTTAGAATCCTGAAAGCAACTTCAGAACACCCGGAACCTATTGCTCCACCAAAAACTCAACTGGAAAGCCGGCAAGCATCCAGGCCAGTCAAGCATTCAATCAATTCAATCATTCCTGCGGCCACAGGAGCACGACCGAATGTGATCAGCGTTCAGGCTTTTCACAGAGGCACGATCGATATTGATGGGTGTTCACTAACGCCTATCAGACAGCCTGGATCAATGTCAGAAACTCCCCTTTAGATATCGTGGGGCTGTTGTAACTTTTGCTCTCTCCCTCCTTGTGGGAATATAGCTTTTGTGTTCCCTTCCGTGAGCCTTTTTCTCTCCGACACTAGGCACTGGAGCGGGTCAGTAGCAGATACCACAGGCCGGCGAATCAGCAGATATAACACTGACCTATATAAAATTTCGTACAGTTGTTACATCTTATCAACTGGGAGGCGATCCTTCCTAAGGCTTTGAACTTTGAACTATTCCCGTCCAGGGTTCACAGTCTTCACAACTTTTTCCATTGTTGGTCTGTGTCTGATACGGTCTGTGTACTAGTGTGCACAACGTTCTTCCGACGTCGTAAAGGGCCTAAGCTGCCCACGCGTGTTGAAATGAAGAACCGCTAACCAAACCGCTCACGATGGCAAGAAACTCGTTAGTTCATTCGTGCTCAAGAGAACAGTATGTGACTACTATGGACTGTCCAATAAGTACAGTCTGTTCATTGGATAAATAGCCTTTGAACTAACACCGATTTCTCTCAATTTTCAGAGTCCCCTAGGCCCAAGGTTGTCAGCAAAATATCGGTTCTGTACACAGACAATCACAGTTTGTTCAAAGAAATTTCTAGTGAAGGCCAAAGGAAGGAGAAAGGAAGGATGGACTAGTGGGGACTCGTTACACGTGTCGCCGAGTGCCTACACCACCAGACACCCATTCAGACAATGTGGAGTGGGAAATCCTCCAACTACAGGGTGTCTCATAATGAACGCAAAATTTGATTGGGTGATTAGACGCAGCCATTTAGAGGAAGGTTAACAAAATGTTTTATTATTAGTAGCCACATGATGGAGGTTTTGTACGCAAGTGTTGGCATTTTTTGTTTACAATGAATGTCAGTACACGCATTGAAATTTGGAAACTCTTATTCCTTTGGGGGAAGCACCACCGCTGCACCTCGCGGTTACAAAAACAAACATGGTCTCATCAAAGATCCTTTCACCATGTCGACCATTGCACGCTTGAGTGCGAAATTTGAGTCCACTGGATCTGCATTGGATTTTCCTGGCAAAGGGAGAAAGTCTCTGAGTGATGAAAGAGCGCCCATTGTACAGAATGCCGTCGAGCAACTTCAGTCCCAGAACACCATGGCATCTTCGTCAATAACTCAGGTGTCTCAGTTGACCGGCATTCCCTGCGCCAGCGTGCATCGTATTATGAGACGCCACCCCACCACTTAAACCAAGTGAGAACTTACCTCCGAGAGCAATTTTCTGATGAGAGAGTCATTGCTCGTGGTATTCCAAAATTTTGGCCCTCAAGGTCACCCGACCTCACACCTTTGGATTATTGGTTTTGGGGAATGATCAAGGTTCGCGTATATCATGAAAATGCACCGAAGAATTTGGTGGAGTTAAGAGCAAGAATTGAAGAGGAGTGAGCACATGTTGCGCTTGAAGAAGTTAAACATGCTGTGTCTCACATTTCAAACAGCCTCCAACTTGTTATAGAAAAAAAATTAGTTTTTTCAAAATCTTTTCTAATCTCGGTTTATTTAAGTAAACCTCCATAATGCTTGTATGTTTACCTAAAAAATGATAAAGGTATAAGTTAGCGTTAAAGTTTTAACGTGGGTATTATTTTTTACGTTTATTATGGGACATCCTGTATACATGAAGGAAGTCAGGTCACATAATTTGGCCCCTCATATTGCTAGCGCATAATAGAAAAAGACGAAAAGCCCCGACTGGACTCTCCAATTCGCAGCTTAACTCGCTGGACGTTATTGCCGGTAATCCGGTTAGGTTACTTCAATTCTATGGAGGTGCCCCACGACCCTATTAAACCAATGGGATAGATGAAATAGGCAAACGCCTAAATGCCTGGATCACGTGTCGCTCGATACGAACCATTTTTGAATCATAGCGAGGAGCTAGCCATACCACTTGCGGTAACGTCCAAGGATATGACGAGACAACCTAGACTGCAGCTCATCTTGACAGTCATCCAACTATCATATATGCTAGGTTACATGGAAGGAACTGATACACGCATCAAGATTGTCTATCCTTCGCACTGGCATCAGAGTCGAACTGCATTCGGATTTCCTTTTCACTTCAAAGCTTTCTACATGCCAGTACTGGCGGACTGGAAGACAAGCGCTCCAACACTGAAAAGCTGGCAATACTTGAGTACAGCTCACTATGAAATTCCTCGTTACGTGAAAGAGGGTTATTGGATCCCTCAAGCATTCAAGTAAGTTCGTACTTAGGTTCGATTGTCTCAAGTTCGTCATGGAATAAAAGGCTCCAGGATGCAACGAATAAGTAAACTGAACAGAACAGAATGAAAGGACCCTAGATCTTTAGTAGACAATTTGCTCTGGGTGTGAAACCTGGTCGGTACATAGCCGTCAAGTACTCAGTCGGATCCGTATCAGTCAGTCATTTGAAAATAAACAGAATTCCTGACAAATATAAAACTAACTTCCCCAGATGGAGAGGAAAACAGGAATCATGGGGTCTTTGGCAAAGATTTCAAACGGAATTTCTAGCTTTCTTTGGATACCAGCTCCGCGACCTGACGAGTTGCTTACAAGCTACTTTTGCCTTCGCCTAAGTCTTATCTGACTCCACATATTTGATTTAAATGCATAAAGGCCACCCAAGTACCCTTCTGCGCTATCCACTTAACTGATGTCATGTCATAGTTATGCGTATTTCTCCGAATCAGACAGTCAGCATTCCCGACTAATGTTTTAGTTGCTACGATATTCGACAGGTCGCGATACATGTCTAGACGTGATACACTACTCATTAGGTTGCTGAAAATTCTCCGACAGCCGAGAACCAGGTTCCCTCTTCGTGGGGATCAGCGCAATTCCCGAAATTCCGTCAACCTTAGGTCCTACTTGAAACCAAATTGCATGAAATTAGTGTATATACACTGATTTGCAAATACATTCGTTTTTGCGGGAGACTCACTTGGTAATCAACTGAATCTGTCGTTTACGGTGTTTCGGGGACTGCGTCTACCTGATGAGCCTCAAGTAGAGCAAAGAAGAGTTTTCAGCAACCTTATGAGTAGTGTATAACATTGATTGACCCTGTAGACGCAGCGTGATTCATTTGCGTGAGCTGTTGAATTGTTATCCATGCGATTCTCAGTTGAATACTACTTATCCAGCTAAGTATCATTATTCTAATAAGCTCACATGAAAGATTGGAAGCAGCGAACTCACTTTTCCTTTTATTATAACTCAGTAGCATTGCATTTCCGTTGTGATGTAGGAAACTGAATTTCATCCGTGTAACATAATCACATGAAAGATTGGAAGCAGCGAACTCAATTTTCGTTTTATTATAACTCAGTAGCAGTGCATTTCCGTTGTGATATAGGGAACTGAATTTCATCCCTGTAACATACGTGATTACCTAGTCTCCAATAATTCATCGGAACAAACTCAACTTGAATTGTTTCGCTCATGATTCAGTAACGTGTATAATTTTCCGTCTCTGGCCCGTTTGTTAGAGGTCCGGAGTTTAGGCCCTGCCTTGGTTGGAGATGGACGCCCGTTAACGCCTGCTAGAAATGGGAAAATAACTGATGGTACTTTTAACCTTCCCAAGTTGCTTTCCTCAAGTTCGACTTATTGAGTAGATGAATAAATAGTCCTACAGTCGTAACACACTTTCGGTGCATACATGTCACTTCATCCGGAGAGAGCATGATGGTTGAGTTACTGCCAGGTTGCCCGAGCCAGGACAGTCAAGATGCCGGGTTTGGGTTCGAACCACGGACCATCATGATCAATGAGTCCGCCAAAGCATCTCAAGCAACCTCTACCTTTGCAAGCTAAGCTGACGTTATGTCGGAACCACAAATATATCGAAAGTTAGCAATCGCTGCCGTGATCTCAATTCGCCTTTCGCCACGCCCTCAACACTTGTGGTGCTGCGCAAGTAGAAATCGGTTGGTTCACCGATGACCAAGTACTTTGCAGAACTTAAAAAATCCCACTCCGGATATAGACATATAACATTTGTGTGCTATTTGTCTAATACACTCATTCGCATACATGTCTTTTTTGCGGATGAAGCCCTGCTGAATCTCTCGTGCATGGTATTCCTCAACTAAATGTGCTGCACGAAGGCCGCCTCATATTTCAGTTGGTACGCTATTCGGGATATAGCTGGATGTTCTTCTCAAGCAAAATGCCCATAATTAGGTCCATGAGCTTCCAGCAACCTTATGAGTAGTTTCCTTAGGGTATATAAAACTTTACACCTTTTCACTGTAGATTGACTTCAGCATCAATGTTCGTTTTTGTTGTCTTGCTGGACGGTAGTGCAACTCTGTATCGGTCCCTTGGCTTCCTGCTCCGCCCACTATGGTATATCAAAAGGCACGGTAGCTCTACACAGCCATTTATGGAGACAAAGGAAAATTATTACAACTGTATTTATAGGGTAGTCTCAGAGTGTTCCACAAGGTCGTGCCATAATCTCCATGAGGGGGCGGGAAGCGTCGAGCCAAAGGTGCTTGATTCGGATTGGCTGGCATCCTGACCAATCAGGGTATACCTTCGTTTGGCCCGTGTCCTGCACGTGACACATCCGTCCAAATGATTTGGTGTTCGGTTATTAGGGACGGCTGGCCTCCGTACAGGTTTGTTGGTAGTGTGGAGAGATTTGAGATTTTTGTGTGGAGAGTTCGTCCTGTAAGTGAAACCAATCTATGCTGAAAAGCCGAGAAGCGCTGTACAGCTGTTTCATCCTTATTGGGAATCATCAGCAGTGCGCATCTCACGAAACTCCGGAGAGTCTCGAACCCGCGACCTCCCGGCTAGCAGTTTGAAAACTTGACCGTTTGGTCACGAGTGGCTGACCAGTAGTTTGACTAATTCGCACTCAGACACGATATAGCACCGCTCATCCTTCAATCATGGAGTGACACGTGTTGACTGTCTCCTGGAGCAACGAATTCTCATAAAGAGGTTGCCCTCATCGGGTGAAGTTTATTCTTCCACTGAGCTACTCATAGATTTTTGTTAGTGTGAGGAGATTTGGGATACTTTGTGGAGATTTCGTCCTGTAAGTGAAACCAATCTATGCTGAAAAGGCCGAGAGCACTGTTCAGCTGTTTCATCCTCATTGGGAATCATCAGCAGTGAACATCTTAATGTTCTGGGTTCGGGAATCCCTGGAGTTTCATTTTGAACTTCCAGAATACCAAGTATTGTTCCAGTATATTCTGTCCTATTGGTCAAACCTAAACTGCTGCGGGGATGGAGTCACTGTGCACGTGATCATGTTGAATACAACATCCGACAACTTGTACTATCCATGACTTCAGAAACGGTAAACGCAGAGTGACTGTAAGCACAGTTTTACTCTCGGTTTGACAAATCAAATGTGAGTTTGGCTACGGCAGAGAAGAATATGAGCTGACTTCACAAGTCACAATCACTAGATCGATAAATTAAATTTGTCCAATGGGAAACACATGCGTTACCATCGTCTTGTCATCGATTTGTGGAATACACTCGATTGTAAACTAATCTGTTTGCAAATGCACTCACCTTTCAGATCGAGCAACTCAAGGGGCTATGGTCAAAACCATAGTCTGCCGGATTCAAATGGGGATCATTTTGTTGGTGTGCATGGGAACGTTAAGATTTTGTTCCCCACAGTTTTGAAAATTGCGCACTTTTATTGGAATACTTCAGGACGCCATTTCCTAAGTTAAAGTAGCGTGAAAAACGTACGCATCCTTGAGCGCATTATCATCATCATCATCGCTTTTAATGGTATACTTCAGCACGCCATTTCCTAAGTTAAAGTAGCGTGGAAAACGTACGCATCCTTGAGCGCATTATCATCATCATCATCGACAGCATGACATCAGTGTTGAACACCGATGCTTCACTGCCGTGTAACCATGATTTATTTGAAAGCCTTATTGTAAAGAAAAGAGTAAAGGTGGACGGGGGAGGGACTTGGTGCTAGCTTACCACATAAGAACGATGTTGTCTGCGTATTCCAGATCGACAAGGTTTTCTTCACAGGCTATTTGAACACCAGGGTTTGGGAGGCCCTCCAGAGTTCGTCCCATTATTTCATCGATCACGAATGGAGAGAGTGGGCATCCCTGACGGGCACTGTTTTGTTTACGAAAGCTTTTGAAAAGCTCTCCGTACACTCCCACACGGAAGTTCGAGAATACAAAGAACGTATTATGTTTACAAACTTCCGGGGCATTCCTTGGTGGGCGAGCGTATCAAGGAGAACAGACCGATCAAGCGAGTTGAAAATCCAGGAATACTAGAATTGTGGGTCGCTTATACCTATGGCGTTGTGTGTGAAGATCTGGTCAACGCAACCCCTACCAGGCCGGAATCCCGCCTGCTGCTCTCGAGTCAATGTCTCACGAGTCACCGTAAGGTGACGAAGCACAATTGACGCCAACAGTCCTGTTACGACCTTGGTCAAGCTGATCCCCTGTGGCTGCCGCACTCACTACGTGCCCCTTTTTTGAAAACGGGCACATTCACCGATTCTCTCCAGTTGTCTGGAACAGACTCCTTTTCCCAAATGCAGGCAAACAGATCGGACAAGCGTTGATTTAGTACTTCACCCCCGTCTTTGGACAGTGCGGGTGGAGGTCATCGGGACCAGGAGCGCAAGTTGTCATGAGAACCCGTAAAAGCGAATTACAGTGTGCAGATTATGAAACCAACACAAGTCAACAGAAATTCACCCTGTTGGAAAGATTGTGACATTGCGGTAAGAAGAAACAGTGATTCAATGCCATACCACCCGAAAGAAGCACAATGGTTGATATACTTCGAGGTTTGTGACGCCTGAATAACAGCAGCAAGATGCTGAGGTTCGGTTTGAACCATGGACGCTCCGATCAGCAAGCTCGCTCACTCTGCTGTACTGCGCTAGTCAAAATAAACGCGCTACTAGACGAGCATAGTAATATCTTTCTCTTCTGCGTTTTGGAAGTGGAAGCTAGCTTAAAAAGTATTTGGTGAAGTAGGGAGCGCGCCCGACGTCAGTGAATTGGGGTCTATGATTCCTTAAAGGTGAAAGACGATGTGAATCAGAAATGAAAAACAAGATTATGCCACATAGTATTTTTGACATTGACCGGTTCGTCAAGGTCAAACACTGCTGCATGCTGCGGTTTACACACTCGTTCGTGGAGTGGCAGATTTTCAGTATAATAATGGATAGTTGGATAGGTCCAAGTTCTCAAATTCTATGCAATAAATTTGCCTCTGTCTTTCTGTATCATATTAGATGGATGATCATACAAGGTATCAAAAAGGGACATTTCGGACCAACTGAGGGAGGTTAGTTGCGAAGATCTCCCTTCGTGCTGAAACTGAGTGGATGAAGGAAGCAGCGATCCTCTTACTGGCGTGCAGAATGGCTGGCGAACAGTGTGAGCTTCCAGTAATCGGTAAAATTTGGGTCCATCGAGGCTTTGGAGATATCGATCCATCTCAGCTCGAATGGAATTTCAGCAGAGCTCCTTGGTGATGTCTACGAATTCCAACAGTTGTACAAATGTCAGTGAATGATTGTACTATCTAAGGTAGTGCAATTCAGTAGTATCCATCGAACGCCTCAGTTAAGGTGGAGCCGTTGAATGCGACCAGTATTCATTTTGTGAGGTTCCAATATGGACGAAAGCGTTTTTTGTATGTGCGGAACCTTGCAGAAAATACAGACAACCTAGCCGAAACACCGTCTACCAAGACGAGTGCCGTTCTCCGTGCCTCCTTCAGGATGGCACAAACTGCGAGATGGACAGCACATGACTTGACAGAAAGGCGTCAAAGAGATCACTAGGAGTTTGGGTGTTCTTAGTGCTGTAGGCCTTCCAGGATGGGGTCCCTGTGATCCCGTCTGTGCTCGGCTAGCAAGAAATGGCGGCTAATCGATGTCAGTGGCGTTCGTGCTGTCAGTTTCCTTCCAGATTGTCTGATTGAGCGGTTGGAGGTGTATGCACTTTAGGATGCTTGACATAGGCCAGCTCTAGGTCCCCTCCCTCACCCCTCTTTTTCTCTAGACGAACGGCAGTGAAGCATTAATGCCAATACTAATGTTGCTGTCTTCGATGATGATGATGATGATGACCATGTGATTTATCAAGTTCTTTATTTTTTTATGGAATTTTTGAACTCCATATTGTAGGTGAACGGTCCTGAGAAGCGCTCTTTGTGCAGCACATTCAGGTGACGAATAACACAAACTAGAGATTCCGTTGATTCCCCCGTGAAAACCGAGTTGATATGCAAATGAGTGAATTTGTCGGAATCAGTCCAATTCGGGTTCAAGTAGAATGTAAGGTTGACGGAAACTAGGGGAC